ATATATATATATATATATATACGTGTATTTGTAACATATATTATGTATGTCAATATTATGCTCCTTTTGACTTCACTGATTTTCTAGAGAGTCCAAAAAAAAAGTCAATCACGRGCATAAAGAATAAAACAATTAATTATATATTCTTTCTGTACCTACTAAGTACTAATGATGAAGAGTATAAAATCTACAACATTCAAATCAGCAAAATGTATTATAACTTATTCCATTTTACCATTAAAAGTACAGTCTAATTATTTWAAGGTATTACTATAAATGTAAGAGTTTATGAATATTTTTTAAGATAAGTATAATAACTCTATTGATCAATACATCAAATAAAAACAATATTACCAGATCCATGTGTGGCGTTTCTAGTATCTGTGAGTCCATGTTTAGCTCTTATAGAATCAGGATTACTTAGCTGACATTGGAAAACTTTAGTTGGACCCATTAACTGRCGCCAAACTGAGATCGCATCTTCTCTGGCCAATATATATGCTTCTGATGGTCCACTACAGATATGATCACAAATTAATCATAATATTTTWAAATTATTAAAATCAATTTAAATACCTTGTCATGAATGTGATGAGTCTATTGTAAAAAAACTTTGTCTTATGCTCTCCATAAAATTGCTCTGCCTGTTCCAGTTTAATGGTTTGACGCTTTGATCGTACAACGTAAAAACCATTGTCCAGTATTGTTCGCCTAATATCCTGTTTAAAACATTAATGGTGTATTATTATGAATTTAATTCATGTTTACAGTATTGTTTTTACAGAACACCAACTACTTAAAATTAACTCAATAAGAAAAAGGAATACCTACCTATAATCCTATAATACAGCCAATAAACTAGAATTTTTTTTAAGACAAAAAACTTTGTAATCGTTACAGAAATAATCAATATCAACACAACTACGGCTRAGTTAAAACGAAATGATTGATAAATGCATTTTGACAATACGTACGAGCAAAGAAAATGGACTGCACACCACATGAGGTTTCATGATGGCTAAAGTCAATTGCAAAGGCTTGATAGATGTCATCTCAATGAAAGCATATCATCCATTTCTAATACTAAACAATTTGATAATAATAATATATTATTACAAATAACTATTAAATTTACTTACATAATTCATCCGACTAGATGTTATATAAATAATTAAAATTAAAAAGGAACTTAAGGTATATACTATATTTTAATAAAATTATTATTATTTATTTTAGTGGGTAATAGATAATAGATATGTTATCATTCACATCTTATCGTATATTGATAACGATTTTGATGAACACATGTCATGCCGTTACAGTCATAGATAATATAAGAATTCTTATATTATCTATGGTTACAGTGTGGAACGAATACGATTTATTAAAATATGCAAACAAATATTACAAGGCGTGAAGGCGTCATAATGACTATTGACTAATGAGTAAAGTCATAGGTTAATCGGAAGCGTATTTAAGTGGAACACATGGGGCCAGTGCCCTAACCATTTAATGTATTTTATACTTTAAAAAAATAATATGTTTTATTAATTTTTTAGCTAATTAAATGTGATGTTTCCATCAAATACTTACAAGTATTTCGGTTATTTGGTTATTTGGTTATTAAATTATATACTTAAATTATATAGGTAATTACATTAGGGCTTGTCATGATTTAAGATATCTTAAATCGTGGGGCACTGGTGCTGGTACACATTTCCCGATTTAACCGTTATCAGTTGTTATCAAAATTTGGAAAACTGCCCCGGTATATTAATATAATTACGAACATAAGCCTATAATTTGCCTGGCCATGCAAGTATATAGCATATAGCCATATAGGTATATCGCATATAAGTACCTACTTACTGAAGCAGTGAAGCCTACTGTCTGTAGGTATAATTGTTTTAAAAATGAAATTCTAATACAAACTAAATGATATGAAAAATATTATAACCTGCATTGAGTTAGCAAAAGCCAAAGCAACATATTGCCATATTGGCTATTATTACCTATATTTGCAATAAACACAATAATATATATTCAAAGTTTGTTATCTACGTATGAATGAGTGTGATATGTGATAGRTATATCTATTACATAATATATATTATATATCTAATAATAATTACATATAATACATATTTATATTATAACACTTAACAAACATCATTCAGTTCAAACTGTTTTGTTATTTTTGTTATTATCATTAGCAAATATAGGTACCAATGGTTATTATTCAATGTTTGCAAATTAGTATTGTACTATTGTGATAATATTATTCACTTACCTATATGATATCAACAAGAGCGAATAATCAAATATATTATRCACCTATTGTATTCATGTGTAAATAAGTGGACAAATTATAAAACTCAGTTGACAGCTGACAAGTGCCTATTGAAAAATTAGGTCAACTATAAAAACAACAGCTAGCAAGATATCTACTTGATAGCGAGCAATACGCAAAGTGTAGGTGCCTAATTAACAATAGGTGTGTGATAATGCAATTGACAACATAGGTCTAATTGGTAATATAAAGATCGAAAGTCCTTCGAAAAATATTATAAACAGGAAACGGCCTTGAAAAACAATATTATTATGGTAAGTGCGTGTGGTCCAAAATCGTAGACGGGTGAAATTGGACGAACAGCATGTGTTCGCCATTGTAAATATTTATAATCGAGTTGTTACTCACCACATAATAATTTAAACAACACGAACTCAGCGGAAAAACATAAAAAAAATATTCGTTCAGATTTATACGTACGCGTTAAACGTAGGTACAATTTATCATTGTTTTTGTAACTTTATTGCATTTACTTTACACCACAGAGTATCATATCCAAGTGGACCTATAGCTATCTGACTAATGGAAATATACGTTTTAAATCTTTTCCATTTGGCAACCAAACATTCAAGGTTCATTGACTTGTATAAGTCTTAACTTTAAATATTTATGTAAAATTCGACRCAAATAGAAACAAAGCAAGTTACGTTTTGATTACTAAGCATTGAGATAATTTATCAACGAATTATACGTAGGTTTACGACCTATATAATAATATGTTTACACATAATATAATACCTAATTTAATTTTATAAATGTTTCGTGAAATTAGATAATTAAGTCTAAAAGCATTATATATTTTAAACTAAACAAATATTATCTTAACCATTTATTTATATTTTATTGTAACACCTACAGGTTTCAGGGAAATCCATTTATCACAAATTTCTTAAAAGGAATTCTCAATTGGTTCCATTATAATTCGTAAATTTTTAATAAGTTAGGTACAAATATAGCATTTATATATGAAAAAAATAATTTAACAAATTACAAACGTTCATATGTGATGATGTAGGTACTACAATTTAATCAAACAATTTTCTATTATTGTTAATAACAATAAAATGTTTAAGATTAATCATACATTTGTGTTTTTTTAAATATAACTCATAGGCATTTTGAATTATTTAATTTTTTTTAAAACTCAAAATCTCACTGTTAAAGCTATGTCGAAAATGAGAGATATTGCTGAAAAGTTACATAAAATTATCAAATAATGGACTACGAATTTTTAACAATGAATTATATTTCTGGGAGACTGAAACATATCGAAATTCAGATAAGAACTTTCAGACACCGTGATTAACTTTGAAAACCAAGGCATTTAGACACCCTCCTACCATATTATATAGTCCAATCAAAATATACGAAATTCAAGGTAAAATATTATAAAAGTATAAATGCGCAGCTGCGCTCGTGGTCGTATAAGAATGGAAAAATTGTATTTTTTCAAGTGGGAAAACAATATTGACCACGTGATAGTGGATAATGTCTAAAAGAAGGGGAGGGTCAACTTGAGCGTGTGCTTTTTTAACAGATGAATCGAGACGGAAAATCGTGCGTTTAGTTGTATAACGTTGAATGCTAATCACTATGTGAGATATTCAAAGAAATATTACGATATTATAACTTACTGGTGGTTTTGACCCTGGAAAAGTAATAAGATATTTTCCATAAAATTATACAACATTTATTTGTCTAAGCTTAAGTAAATTAAAATACAGCAAACATACAACTAGTTGTAGGCACCTATACCATATAAATATTTTGTTCCTAGTGTTACGATAACAATGAATGCAAATTAACAAAACATGCTTATTTGTT